TAGCACCCCACCCCTAGTTGTGACAACTAAATACATCTCCAGACATTGGCAAACATCCTGGGGAAGGGAGGGGGAATTCTTTCCAGCTGAGAACTGTTGCATTAGAGCACAACTAAAAAATTTTTTCATTAAAAAAAGGATATAGTTAATAAGCCAATAATAAACATAAAAATGATTTCTTTAAAAAAAACTTTTAAAATCCTCAATCCAAAAGAATTTAGGAAAAGAGAAAAGGAGAAAAAGGATTTCTCAGATAAAACATAGAAAACACAAACCAGGAGGAGATGGGTGAAAATCTACCTAACAGGTACAATAAACACTCTCTCGGTGATGGGGACACCTATAACCCTGACTCAAGCACTACAAAACCGATCTATGTAACCAAAAGCATCTATCTATACCCCTGTAATACTCTGAAATTAAAAAAAGAAGAAAAATACCCACAAACCATAGGAAAAAATATTGATAAACTAGACTTGATCAAAATTTAAATTTCTAATCCTCAGGAGTTCTAGACTAGCCTGAGCAAGAGTGAGACCCCATCTCCAGTAAGAAAAACAACAGTGGCCAGGTGCGGTGGTTCACACCTGTAATCCTAGCACTCTGGGAGGCCGAGGCTCTCTAGTTCTTTACAGAAAAAATTCCTGAGTCCTGCCCTAGAACAAGGTTTCTCTACTGTGGCACTATTGGCATTCTGAGGCCTTATTGTGGGGAGTTGTCCTGCAGGTTGTAGGATGTTTAGTAGCATCCCTGGACTCTCCTCAATAGATGCCATTAGCACCCCACCCCTAGTTGTGACAACTAAATACATCTCCAGACATTGGCAAACATCCTGGGGAAGGGAGGGGGAATTCTTTCCAGCTGAGAACTGTTGCATTAGAGCACAACTAAAAAATTTTTTCATTAAAAAAAGGATATAGTTAATAAGCCAATAATAAACATAAAAATGATTTCTTTAAAAAAAACTTTTAAAATCCTCAATCCAAAAGAATTTAGGAAAAGAGAAAAGGAGAAAAAGGATTTCTCAGATAAAACATAGAAAACACAAACCAGGAGGAGATGGGTGAAAATCTACCTAACAGGTACAATAAACACTCTCTCGATGATGGGGACACCTATAACCCTGACTCAAGCACTACAAAACCGATCTATGTAACCAAAAGCATCTATCTATACCCCTGTAATACTCTGAAATTAAAAAAAGAAGAAAAATACCCACAAACCATAGGAAAAAATATTGATAAACTAGACTTGATCAAAATTTAAATTTCTAATCCTCAGGAGTTCTAGACTAGCCTGAGCAAGAGTGAGACCCCATCTCCAGTAAGAAAAACAACAGTGGCCAGGTGCGGTGGTTCACACCTGTAATCCTAGCACTCTGGGAGGCCGAGGCAGGTGGATTGCTCAAGGTCAGGAGTTCGAAACCAGCCTGAGCAAGAGTGAGACCCCGTCTCTACTACAAATAGAAAGAAATTAATTGACCAACTAATATATATATATACAAAAAATTAGCCGGGCATGGTGGCGCATGCCTATAGTCCCAGCTACTCGGGAGGCTGAGGCAGAAGTGTTTGAGCCCAGGAGTTTGAGGTTGCTGTGAGCTAGGCTGACACCACAGCACTCACTCTAGCCTGGGCAACAAAGCAAGACTCTGTCTCAAAAAGAAACAAAAACAAATAGAAATTAGTTGGACAACTAAAAATATATATAGAAAAAATTAGCTGGGCATGGTAGTACATGCCTATAATCCCAGCTACTCTGGAGGCTGAGGCAGTTAGGATCACTTGAGCCCAGGAGTTTGAGGTTGCTGTGAGCGAGGCTGACGCCATGGCACTCTAGCCCTGGCAACAGAGTGAGACTTTGTCTCAAAAAAAAAAAAAATTAAACTTCTGCTCCTCAAAAGATACTAAGAAAATAAAAAAACAAGCCACAAACAGAAACTATTTGCAAAACACACATCTGAAACAGAACTTGTATCTAGAATTTTACAAAACTTACAACTCTAGAAGACAACTTGATTTAGGTGGGAAAAATATAGGCAAAAGATTTGAATAAAAACTTTACCAGAGATATAGAAATAGCAAATAAGCATATGAAAAGTTACTATATATCATAAATAGTAAGGAAAATACAGATTAAAACCATAATGAGCTATCACTGCATATCCGCAGAATACTTGAAATTTAAGAGACTGGCAATAACAAGAGTTGGCAAGGATGTGGAACAACTAAACACTCATACACTGTGTATCAGAATGCAAAATAGGACAGACATTTTGGAAAACAATTTGGAACTTTCTAATAAAATGTGCACTTACTATATAGTCCAATAATCCCACTCACAGTTATTTACCCCCAGAAAAATGAAGTATATGTTCAGATAAGAATTTTTACCCAGATATTCTTAGCAACTTTATCCACAATAACCAAGAACTATGAACAACCCAAAGTGGCCCATCAACTGGCAAATGAATGGACAAATACTCATGTCAATAAAAAAAAAAAAAACTACTGACACATGAAACAACATAGGTGAATTTTAACAGCATTATACGAAGTTTGAGATCAACACAAAAGACTACATACAAAGTCATTTCTTTTATATGTAACTATAGAAAAGGCAAAACTAGCAACACAAAGCAAATCAATGGTTGCCAGGTATAAGGGTTGGAGGAAGGGACTGTCCGCAAAAGAAAAAAAGGGAACTTTTAAAGGTGACAGAAAACTTCAATATTGTGATTGTGATGACTGTTACACAACTGGATATATTTATTAAGACCCAGATATTGTATACTTAAAGTTGGTGATTTTATTTATTGTGTCAAAAAAAAAATGATAAAATCTAATTTACAAAAAAAAAAAAAAAAAACCCAAAAAACTCAATAGCAAGAATCTGTTAAAAATAAGAATGGAGTGGGAGTGAGACTACTTTTTCCCCCCGAGTAATTACTAAGGAAAACAGCTTGCTACTTTAAGATGGCTGGGAAACAGTCCTTCTGGTCAAGTTTGATTGGGTGCTAGTGATTGGATCCTTGAAGCAGAGTATATACATTTAACTAGAGATTACCAGTCAGGAATATTTAGGCCAGAGGATGGGCAGTAGACATACATGAGGATTTAGTATGAATCCAAGTAATTAGGGAAATAATGGATGATTCAATAAACAATACCAAGAGAACTCTCTAGTCACTTAGAGAAAAATAGCTATATAACATACAGTATACAAAATCAGATGGCATAGAAATATAAATTTAAACAAGATTACAAATTTACTAGAAGACAATATATTTTTAAAATATTGTGATAAACAAGCCCTATGTAAACAAGTCACAAGATCTGAAAAAGTAGTTCTGACTATAATTAAAACTTAAGTAAAACAAAATACCATAAACAAAGCTCAGACAGCCCAAGAGGAGATTTCATACTTATAAGCATATATATTGGCCGGGAACAGTGGCTCAAGCCTATAATCCTAGCACCCTGGGAGGCCAAGGTGGGTGGATCGCTCAAGGTCAGGAGTTCAAGACCAGCCTGAGCAAGAGCAAGCCCCCATCTCTACTAAAAAAATACAAAGAAATTTGCTGGACAACTAAAATTATATAGAAAAAAAATTAACTGGGCATGGTGGCTGGCACATGCCTGTAGTCCCAGATACTCAGGAGGCTGAGGCAGGAAGATTGTTTGAGGCCAGAAGACTGAGGTTGCTGTGAGCTAGGCTGACGCCACGGCACTCTAGCCAGGGCAAGACAATAAGACTCTGTCTCAAAAAAAAAAACTGGGCTCAAGCGATCCTTCTGCCTCAGCCTCCCGAGTAGCTGCTGGGACTACAGGCATGCGCCACCATGCCCAGATAATTTTTTTATATATATATTTTCAGTTGGACAATCAATTTCTTTCTACTTTTAGTAGAGACGGGGTCTTGCTCTTGCTCAGGCTGGTTTCGAACTCCTGACCTTGAGCGATCCACCCGCCTCGGCCTCCCAGAGTGCTAGGATTACAGACATGAGCCACTGTGCCAGGGTTTTTTTTTTTTTTTTTTGAGACAGAGTCTCGCTTTGTTGCCCAGGCTAGAGTGAGTGCTGTGGCGTCAGCCTGGCTCACAGCAACCTCAAACTCCTGGGCTCAAGCAATCCTACTGCCTCAGCCTCCCAAGTAGCTGGGACTATAGGCATGCACCACCATGCCTGGCTAATTTTTTGTATATATATTTTTAGTTGGTCAATTAATTTCTTTCTATTTTTTTAGTAGAGACAGGGTCTCGCTCAGGTTGGTTTCAAACTCCTGACCTCAAGTAATCAGCCTGCCTCAGCCTCCCAGAGTGCTAGGATTACAGGCATGAGCCACCGCGCCCAGCCAGGATTTTTTAAAAGTAAAAAAAAAAAACAAACCTTACATTGGTCAAATCATAAATCTAAAATAAATCTTTCCATATTTACTAGCATCTGAAAAATAAGTTATTTATTCAAATGTAATAAACAAACATAACCACACTTTGGGGGAAAAAATGTAATATTCTTTCTGAAACACAAAAAAGATACCAAAATATTGTGTTTTTCAAAGGATCACATTTGCTACATATGGCCCATATGGGTTTGAAAAAATATAACAAGACTCAATTTTATTTACTTGATCACTATAATTTTAATCAGTAGGCATATTAATGTCACATATACTCTTTTAAAATAGAAACATCTTAAAAGCTATGTTTTACAATATGATACCAAAAACATGTAGCTGGTATATAGGTTGTACAGGTAATCATTTGGGCTATGTAAGAAATATGGTCAAAATACTGTCATGGTGACAGAAAAATACTTTCTTTTTAATCATTCACATTCAGTAACCGTGAAAAGGCTCTACATACATACCGACTCTGAACAACACATTTCATTCTGTATCAACCCTGCTATGCTATCTATTGCTGTTTTGACAATTGCACAGTTCAACATAAAAATGCATCCCACTCAGATTCTCAATAATTGGTCTGATTAGGCAGATAACTTCCCAATCATAAAAGCTTTTATGTTAAGGCAAGTATTATGCAAATACAGTGTGGAAATCAGAGTTGCTGTAAGTAGGATTAAAAGACACCTCTAAGAACACTACACATGTGACACCTATTGCATTTTTATGCACTTGCCTTGCATTCTCTTCCTTTCCTCCTCCTCTCTGAAGTGCTAGATTAAAGTGTAAGTACACTAGAAAGTTAGTAACAGGCTTACTATGAGAGAACCATGTGTTTAAGAAAGCAAACCATTCAGATAAGAAGTCTCTAAATACTTTCTATTTTATATGTTTTTATGATCTTTCTTATAAAAGAGGGAGTGTTTTATGTGTAACACCTGCAAATAAAAATAAACCTACATTTCACTCAAGCCCAATCAAATATATCAAATATAAAATACACACACAAAGCAAACTACAATGGCAGCAGTGATTCTTAGGGCAGCATGTACAAAATCCAATATTTTGCTATCTGTCTACATCATTGTGGTCAGAAAAGAAATGTGCCAAAACTTCCTTTCCCATTCCACTTGAACTGGTTCCCCACAATTCCAACAAACATTTCCTGTGACATTAAGTTGTCATCAGCTTGTGTGATCCCCAGTTCACTCAACCTTTTCTTCTTCATCTGGCCTTTTTGTGTGGAGGCAGCAACTAGTTCATTTATAATTTCACAATTTCCCTCAACTTGCTCAGAAAGATCAGATCTTGGATAAAGCTCCATTTTACCAGCTGCACACTGAATCAGCTCTTCTAGATCCACTCTTTCAGTTGCATCTGCCTCTTCACTTGTCTGAATTTTAAATGCTTTACTTTCTGGAAAAACAAACAAATTTTAAAAAAATTAAAAAAAAACAAATAAAGTTAAATATATAAGCTAACTCAACTAAAATATATATTTCTTACATAGTCTGTTAGAGCTTTCAAGTTTTTTCTGTGAAGGATTCCTGCTATCATCTAACCAGATTTTACAAATTCTTTGCCATAAGAATCTCAATGACCAGCTGCCTTGCTCTTCATGCTAAGGTTTCCTGACCTCACACAGTATCACCAATTTTGAACTCTTTGTTTACCCTTTTCATCCTAGAATCTCATTCACATAGACACGTTCTGGATATGTACTATCTGCTAAGCACTGTGGTAGGAGCTGGGATGCAAAGGTTAGTAAGACAGTGCTACTTTTTTTTAAATGAACTCCTAATCTAGCAGCTAATTCTAGATGGGCCCCATGATCCCCACTGCTGTTACTTTCATGATTGTTAAATGGCAAAAGGATTTTGCATTGTAATTTTGCAATGTAATTAAGGTTACCAATCAGTTTTCTCCAGCTGGTTGCAGAAGAGGTCAGAGAGATTCAAAGCATGAGAGATTTGTCTTAAGAGAAATACTCTATTGCTGAGGGGAACACGTGGCAAGGACCTGAGAGCAGCCTGTAGGAGCAGAACATGAACCCCAGCCAGCAGCCCCAACAAAACAGAGACCTCAGTCTTACAACCTAAAGGAATGAAATTTGCCAATGAATGACATTAATGAGTCTAGAAGCAGAATTTTCCACCAGAGCTTAAAGATAAGAATCCTGCTCAGCTGACACTTGAATTCATGCTGTCAGAAAGTAACGAACTCACAGATATAACTGCAGCTTATGCTGAAGGATGACAAGGACTACTCTTTAAACTGCTTTAAACTTTCATCACCCACATCAATGCTTAATCATTCCCTATGACTGAGATTTAATAGTGATCTGTGTCGTGGTTTGAAATTCACTAATTTCAACTGAGGAATTTGCTCACCGTTGCTGCTAAAGGCAGGTGACAGGGAAGCATTTACTTCTACCAATAAAATATAGAGCGTGGCCGGGCGCGGTGGCTCACGCCTGTAATCCTAGCTCTCTGGGAGGCCGAGGCGGGCGGATTGCTCGAGGTCAGGAGTTTGAAACCAGCCTGAGCAAGAGTGAGACCCCGTCTCTACTATAAATAGAAAGAAATTAATTGGCCAACTAATATATATAGAAAAAATTAGCCGGGCATGGTGGCGCATGCCTGTAGTCCCAGCTATTCGGGAGACTGAGGCAGCAGGATTGCTTGAGCCCAGGACTTTGAGGTTGCTGTGAGCTAGGCTGACGCCACGGCACTCACTCTAGCCTGGGCAGCAAAGCGAGACTCTGTCTCAAAAAAAAAAAAATAGAGCGAAACTCCACTATCCCCTTCAGCAAACGCAGCCTTCAACCTGGCACGTTCATTTCATTGCCTCCATCCTCAATAAATGCCAGCAGAAGCCACCATTGCTATCCTATGTCCATACTTGTTCTATACATTTATAGAGTGCCAAGCATGACAAAAAGGGAACTGTAGGCCCACAGAAACAACACATCAAGGTTGTGAATGAACAGTTGAACTAGTTGATCTTGAAAGTTTCTTTTACCCTGAGATTCTATAATGTTACCAAGCTTCTCTCTCTCCATGCCCATGCATATTCTAGCCATTGTTTTTAAGGAGGGGAGAAAGATTCAGATCCTTAATCAGAGTTTAATGTTGAAATAAAGTAAATTAGATCAGTTTTTACATAAAAAATTACTAAATATAGCATACCTTCAGTTCCATCTTGGGCATTTTCTTGCAGGTCAGAGAAAATTGTAGGTTTCACCAAGACAACACCATAACCTTCATTATTATGTACGATATTATTCACCATGGATATTTTGGGAATGTCATAATGCTCATCTAAAAAGTCCTATGATATTGAAAACAAATGTTTTAAGAAATTGGCATATTCAACACTGTTGGCTCTAATAATTTTTTTCACGCTATTCTAAAAATAAGGTGGAAAATTTGTGCTTATTAATATCTTGTAGCACATTTTGAGTTCTGAGTGACATAGTATTCCTCTGTCATTTCTGCAGATCTATAGGCAACAGTTTTGCCATAAGACACTTTCAGCAACTATTATATTATTAAAATTTATATACTGTTTATGCTTTTCAAAACCTGGAAACAGAACCCAATATGGGAGTTTAAGAAAAGATAGTTTCTGGCCGGGCGCGGTGGCTCACACCTATAATCCTAGCACTCTGGGAGGCCGATGAAATTTGCCAATGAATGACATTAATGAGTCTACTGGGAGCCCCGAGGCGGGCGAATTGCTAGAGGTCAGGAGTTCAAAACCAGCCTGAGCAAGAGTGAGACCCATCTCTACTAATAAATAGAAAGAAATTAATTGGCCAACTAATATATATATACAAAAAATTAGCCGGCATGGTGGCACATGCCTGTAGTCCCAGCTACTCGGGAGGCTGAGGCAGAAGGATTGCTTAAGCCCAGGAGTTTGAGGTTGCTGTGAGTGAGGCTGACGCCATGGCACTCACTCTAGCCTGGGCAACAAAGTGAAACTCTGTCTCAAAAAAAAAAAAAAAAAAAAAAAAGAAAAAAAAAGAAAAGATAGTTTCTGGCCGGGTGCAGTGGCTCACACCTATAATCCTAGCACTCTGGGAGGCCCAGGCAGGACAACTGCTTGAGCTCAGGAGTTCAAGACCAGCCTGAGCAAGAGTGAGACCCTGTCTTTACTATAAATAGGAAGAAATTGCCAAAACAACTAAAAATAGAAAAAATTAGCTGGGCATGGTGGCACATGCCTGTAGTCCCAGCTACTCGGAGCTGAGGCAGGAGGATCGCTTGAGCCCAGGAGTTTGAGGTTGCTGTGAGCTAGGCTGACGCCATGACACTCTAGCCCAGGCAAGAGAGTGAGACTCTGTCTCAAAAAGAAAAAAAGATAGTTTCTTAGGTGAAATCATTCTAACCTTTGCAAAGAGGGTGTTTCAGCTGATGCTCACCTTAATGAGGATCCCTTCCTTGCAGTGGTGGATCCCATTGTCAGTCAGGACACACTTGCTCCCAGGATATATTTCTATACCAGCACCCTATAAGTTACAATTCGAGAGATAATGACAATAATTTCTTAAAAGGCAGGACTACAAGAGTTTATTACAATCACTTTTAGCCTTTAACACAGTATAAATGTACAGAGCACATTTGTACATTGAGCACAAAATAAAGTGTTTTACAGATAAGTTTTGTTAGGTATTTTTAATCAACCTTTCCATTTGTTCCATTTCCAAGAAATTATCGATCATTTACCATTTCAAAAACCACACACACACAAACACTGCTTAGAGTGTCAACATTTGATTCCTGCTCCACTCTCTTTCATTCTAGACAAGTCAGTTTTCTGATTCTGCCAAAAAAAAAAAGTTAGTTAACATTTTGTTCAAAGATGCACTTATGCAAAATGGCCATTCTCTCAGAGATACTCACTTAGTTGGAAAACAGAATTTGAGTTTAGTAAAATATTGTAATTTGAGAATAGAAACCAGACTCTTATGTTTTTAAAACACTCTAGGTTTAAAATACTGGAACCCAACTTAAAATCACTTCTGTGAGTTAAACAATGGCCTCCACTACTACACATGCTAAAATTAGAAGCTAGTTCACGTGTCATTCAGACAGAGTAATGAGAGAGAGTCAAACATGGTCCAATTCTCACAATGTCCCTTGGCACCACATGGTACCAACAAAAAAGTAACAGTAATGGGAATAATTTATTTCCTAATGCTATGTGAGGCACTTTGGGAAGCAAAAATGATTTATTCAAACTCTATAGTTATAATTATTTAAGAAACTATTTGGGAATAATTTAATACACAATATCATAGATGAACAAGAGTTGCTATAATAATTTATGAAATATCTACTGCATGTATTAGGTTGTGTGCAAAAGTAATTGTGGTTTTGGACCGTGAATTTTAAATCATTATAACTAGGCCGAACACACCTTATTTAATCAAAATAGGAGCCATTACAATCAACACATTTTTGCCAATGAGAAATAAGTTTGTTTATTCCTATAGTGTAAAAATCCATGCTTCGGGATTCAAAGAACTTTTGGAAAGCATTTTCTGCATCCTACTGGTTGTAGAAGCGTTTTTCCTACAAAAAGTCAAGATGATTGAAGAAGTGGTAGTTGGTTGGCGTGAGGTCAGGTAAATATGGCAAATGAGGAAAATTTCGCGGCCCAATTCATTCAACTTTTGAAGCATTGGTTGGATACATGTAGTCGGGTTGTTGTGGAGAGAAATTGGGTCTTTCTGTTGACCAATGCTGGCTGCAGGCACTGCAGTTTTTAGTGCATCTCAACAATTGTTGTGCTCACTTCAGCAGACATATACTAAAATGGAACAATACAGAGAAGATTAAATGGCCTGCACAAGTGATATACAATTCGTGAAGTGCTCATATTAAAAAAAAAAGATTTGCTGAGCATACTTTCAAATGTAATGGTTTTGCTGGGATTCAGAAAAGCTGTAGTGGATCAGACTGGCAGCAGACCACCAAATGGTGACCATTACCTTTTTTTGGTGGAATTGGCTTTGGGAAGTGCTTTGGAGCTTCTTTCAGGCAACACTGAGCTGTCCTTGCCAGTTGTCGTATAAATCCACTTTTCATCTAGAGTGAAACTCCACTATCCCTTCAGCAAACGCAGCCTTCAACCTGGCAGTTCATTTCATTGCTCCATCCTCAAAAATGCCAGCGAAGCCACCATTGCTAATCCTATGTCCATACTTTTCTATACATTTATAGAGTGCCAAGCATGAAAAAAGGGAACTGTTAGGCCCACAGAACCACACATCAGGGTTTGTGAAATAACAGTTGAACTAGTTGATTTCTTGAAAGTTTCTTTTCCCTGAGATTCTATAATGTTACCAAGCTGTCTCTCTCTCCATGCCATGCATATTCTAGCCCATTGTTTTTAAGGGGGGAGAAAGTTCAGATCCTTAATCAGAGTTTAATGTTGAAATAAAGTAATTAAGATCAGTTTTTACATAAAAAATTACTAAATATACATACCTTCAGTTCCATCTTGGGCATTTTCTTGGCAGGTCAGAGAAAATTGTAGGTTTCACCAAGACAACACCATAACCTTCATTTATAGTACGATATTATTCCACTGGATATTTGGGATGTCATAATGCCTCTAAAAAGTCCTATGATATTGAAAACAAATGTTTTAAGAAATTGGCATATTCAACACTGTTGGCTCTAATAATTTTTTTCACGCTATTCTAAAAATAGGTGGAAAATTTGTGCTTATTAATATCTTGTAGCACATTTTGAGTTCTGAGTGACATGATTTCCTCTGTCATTTTTCTGCAGATCTATAGGCAACAGTTTTGCCATAAACACTTTCAGCAACTATTATATTATTAAAATTTATATACTGTTTATGCTCTTTCAAAAACCTGGGAAACAGAACCCAATTGGGAGTTTAATCCTAGCACTCTGGGAGGCCCAGGCAGGACAACTGCTTGAGCTCAGGAGTTCAAGCCAGCCTGAGCAAGAGTGAGACCCTGTCTTTACTATAAATAGGAAGAAATTGCCAAAACAACTAAAAATAGAAAAAATTAGCTGGGCATGGTGGCACATGCCTGTAGTCCCAGCTACTCGGGAGGCTGAGGCAGGAGGATCGCTTGAGCCCAGGAGTTTGAGGTTGCTGTGAGCTAGGCTGACGCCATGACACTCTAGCCCAGGCAAGAGAGTGAGACTCTGTCTCAAAAAAGAAAAAAAAGATAGTTTCTTAGGTGAAATCATTCTAACCTTTGCAAAGAGGGTGTTTCAGCTGATGCTCACCTTAATGAGGATCCCTTCCTTGCAGTGGTGGATCCCATTGTCAGTCAGGACACACTTGCTCCCAGGATATATTTCTATACCAGCACCCTATAAGTTACAATTCGAGAGATAATGACAATAATTTCTTAAAAGGCAGGACTACAAGAGGTTTATTACAATCACTTCTTAGCCTTTAACACAGTATAAATGTACAGAGCACATTTGTACATTGAGCACAAAGATAAAGTGTTTTACAGATAAGTTTTGTTAGGTATTTTTAATCAACCTTTCCATTTGTTCCATTTCCAGAAAATTATCGATCATTTACCACTTTCAAAAACCACACACACACAAACACTGGCTTAGAGTGTCAACATTTGATTCCTGCTCCACTCTCTTTCATTCTAGACAAGTCAGTTTTCTGATTCTGCCAAAAAAAAAAAAAAGTTAGTTAACAATTTTGTTCAAAGATGCACTTATGCAAAATGGCCATTCTCTCAGAGATACTCACTTAGTTGGAAAACAGAATTTGAGTTTAGTAAAATATTGTAATTTGAGGATAGAAACCAGACTCTTATGTTTTTAAAAACACTCTAGGTTTAAAATACTGGAACCCAACTTAAAAATCACTTCTGTGAGTTAAACAATGGCCTCCACTACTACACATGCTAAAATTAGAAGCTAGTTCACGTGTCATTCAGACAGAGTAATGAGAGAGAGTCAAACATGGTCCAATTCTCACAATGTCCCTTGGCACCACATGGTACCAACAAAAAAGTAACAGTAATGGGAATAATTTATTTCCTAATGCTATGTGAGGCACTTTGGGAAGCAAAAATGATTTATTCAAACCTCTATAGTTATAATTATTTAAGAAACTATTTGGGAATAATTTAATACACAATATCATAGATGAACAAGAGTTGCTATAATAATTTATGAAACATCTACTGCATGTATTAGGTTGGTGCAAAAGTAATTGTGGTTTTGGACCGTGAATTTTAAATCATTATAACTAGGCCGAAACACACCTTTATTAATCAAAATAGGAGCCATTACAATCAACACATTTTTGCCAATGAGAAATAAGTTTGTTTATTCCTATAGTGTAAAAATCCATGCTTCGGGATTCAAAGAACTTTTGGAAAGCATTTTCTGCATCCTACTGGTTGTAGAAGCGTTTTTCCTACAAAAAGTCAAGATGATTGAAGAAGTGGTAGTTGGTTGGCGTGAGGTCAGGTAAATATGGCAAATGAGGGAAAATTTCGTGGCCCAATTCATTCAACTTTTGAAGCATTGGTTGTGATACATGTAGTCGGGCGTTGTTGTGGAGAAGAATTGGGTCCTTTCTGTTGACCAATGCTGGCTGCAGGCACTGCAGTTTTTAGTGCATCTCAACAATTTGTTGTGCTCACTTCAGCAGCACATATACTAAAATTGGAACAATACAGAGAAGATTAACATGGCCCCTGCACAAGGATGATATGCAAATTCGTGAAGTGCTCATATTTAAAAAAAAAAGATTTGCTGAGCATACTTCTCAAATGTAATGGTTTTGCTGGGATTCAGAAAGCTGTAGTGGATCAGACTGGCAGCAGACCACCAAATGGTGACCATTACCTTTTTTTGGTGGAAGTTTGGCTTTGGGAAGTGCTTTGGAGCTTCTTCTCAGGCCAACCACTGAGCTGGTCCTTGCCAGTTGTCGTATAAAATCCACTTTTCATCGCACATCACAATCCAGTCAAGAAATGCTTGTTGCATACAAGAGAAGGCAACATTTTTGATTTTCGGTCAGCTTATGAGGCACCAATTTATCGAGCTTTTTCACCTTTCCAATCTGCTTTGAATGGCAAACGACCATAGAACGGTCGACCTTGAGTTCTTCGGCAACTTCTTGTGTCATTGTAAGAGGGTCAGCTTCAATGATTGCTCTCAACTTCTGATGGCCGGCCACTGCACTCTCCATCTTCAAGGCTCCTGTCTCCTTCGCAAAACCCTGTATGTTCACTAGCAGTTAGCAGTTCCTGGGCTAAATGTGTTGTTGATGTTACCAGTTGTCTCTGCTGCTTTATGATTCCTCTCCTCTCCCTTCTCTCCTTCCACTCCTTCCCTCTGCTTTCTCCTCTCCTCCTGCCCTCCTCTCTCTCCCCTCCCCTCTCCTCTCCTCCGCCCCTCCTCCTCCCTCTCTTCCTCCTCCCCTCCTTCCTCTCCTCTTCCTTTCTCCTCTCCTCCTCCCCTCCCCCTCTCCTCTTTCGTCTTCTCTCCTCTCCTCGCCCCTCCCCCTCTCCTTCAATCCTCTCCTCCTCCCTCTTTCTTTCTCTCTCCTCCTCCCTCCCCCTTCCTCTCCTCTCCTCTTCCTCCTGGCCCCTCTCCTCCTCTTCTCTCCTCTCCCCTCCTTCTCTCTTACTTCTCTTTTCCTCTCCTTCCTCCCCTCCGCCCCCCTCTTTCTCTTCTCTCCTCTCCTCCGCCCCTCCCCCTCTCCTTCTCCTCCTCGCCCCTCCTCTCCTCTTCTCTTTCTCCTCTCCTCCTCCCCTCCCCCTCTCCTCTCCTCTCTTCTCTCCTCTCCTCCTCCCCTCCCCCTCTCCTCTCTCTCCTCCGCCCCTCCTTCCTCTCCTCTCCTCCTCCCCTCCTCTCTCTTCTTTTCTCCTCTCCTCCTCCCTCCCCCCGTCTCTTTCTTCTCTCTCCTCTCCTACCACCCTCGCCCTGCTCCTGCTCCTCCTTCCCTCCTCCCTCTTTCTCTTCCTCTCCTCCTCCCCTCCCCCTCTCCTCTTCCTTCTTCTTCCGCTCCTCCTCCCTCCCCCCTCTCCTTCCTCTCTTCTCTCCTCTCCTCGCCCTCTCTTTCCTCTTCTCCTCTCCTCCTCCTCTCCTCTCTTCTCTTTCGTCCGTCTCCTCCCTCCCCGCTCCGTCTTCTCTTCCTCCGCCCCTCCCCTCGTCTCCTCGTGCTCTCCTCTTCCCTCTCTTCGCTCTTCTCTTTCTCCTCTCCTCCTCCTCCCCTCCCCTCTCCTCTCCGTTTCCCTTCTCTCTCTCTTTCTTTCTTGTCTCCTCTCTCCTCCCTCCTCCTCCTCCCTCTCTCTCTCTCTCTCTCTCTCTTAGCCAAATTTAGCAGTGGGGGGTTGTATACTAACTTTAGTGACACTAATGTTAATAAGTTCTGATAACCCACTACCATCAGACCAGTCTTTATGACTCATTTTGAACTCAAATAAGAAAATTGCTCGAATTTGTTTTTTGTCTAACGTCATTTCCATAGTCCAAAATAAATATAAACAGCAATAAGTCATTAGCAAAAACCATAAAGCGAGAAATGTGCATTAAAATGATGTATAACATAACCACATTTATTTAAGAATGTATTCCAATATAAAAGGGCAAATTTCACCAATGCTAAAACAGCAATTACTTTACACCAACCTAATATGTTGAGTTAATTTTCTAGGAGTAGTAATATACCATGAGAAAACATTTATTATTACTTCCCCCTCCATATATGACTGGACCATATGTACACACCAACGTAATTCTTCTGTGAAGAGGTTTTTAAAAATCTGCTAATTGGGCCCTTAGCTAAGAGATTTTCAGTTTGGGGTTATGTGTAAAAAAGATTTCAGGGTGACTACACTAAAAATACATATATAACAAAATAGTTAAAATTAAATATCAAACTATCAGGAATAGGCCGGGCGCTGTGGCTCACGCCTGTAATCCTAGCTCTTGGGAGGCCGAGGCGGGCGGATTGCTCAAGGTCAGGAGTTCAAACTATCAGGAATCATATAAAATTTAAAAAGGAGAATAATTTAAACCAGCTGTCACCTAGCAAATGATATATTCATAATCAAAATATATTATGAACAGATAAGTGGGCAATTAAAAAGTAATTGAGGAGACTCTCAATTGAGCCATTTCTGGGACAATGAAGTAGAGTCCCTATTCCTCGTACTAGGTACAACCAAAAACCACAGGCATTATACTAACAAAGTAGTAAGGTTCCTAGGTTTTTCTTGTTTCACAACCTCCAGACTTGGAGCTAAAGAAGCTGACAATCAAAATTAAAAAATAAAAGAAAATAAAAAGAAAATCACAGGGTCAAACATTCAAAATTATAGGCATTCATTTATAATCAAGTTCTTTTGAAATTGCTTTGTATATGCAGCCCTATGTGATATATTTCAGGGAATGTGGCAACCAGGATTTGTTTTTTAACAATATTTAATGACTTTTCCCTAGGAGTCAACTAACAAGATTATATATGTGGAAATGCTTCATAAACTGTCAAGCACTGCCAAGAGTTAGCTAGGCTCCAAGCAAAACAGGTCCCAGGCAGGATCATCACAAGAGATTTGGCAATAATAGAAATAGAGAAATGATAGGGACAGAGAAATAACCAAGACAGAGACAAAGTATAGTTTAAAGTGATGGGGGAGTCAGAGGTCCTCCAGCATTCCCGTGAGCTGTTAGGCGCTGAGTGAAGTCCCGCATCAGTATTTACTGGTGCAGCAACTAGTTGCCTTTGGTTACAGATTTATGTGTACATGTCATTTGTTTAGGTTTCAAGGCCCCCAAAAGCTTCTAGAGTTTCTTAATCAATTCTATCTACGTGAGCAATTGGTTACAAAATTTTTCTAAGATAAACTTCTAAGCCCTAAGTTAAGAATACCTGGCTGAGTATATAAGTTAAAGATAAAACTGTTAATTAGCAGAAAAGCTAAACAGAAATATAGAGGCTATATATTTCTTTATCTGGTTTCTCATTAACTGAGACATGTGGTCAGGAGTGAAGCAGGAAGTGTCCTTGAGGCTAACTGGTTTCAGCTGCAGATGTCTGCTGGGCTGGCATTCTTTGATCTGTCCTTAACCTGTGACCCCATGCCGAGCTCTCTTACACAAGCATCAGGCACTGGCCTTCAGGTCTTGAGACAGGTGTCACCTTGCATATGCCCCTGACCAGTGAGATGCCTGTCTGTTGCTAGGCAGCTTCTGGTCTGTGAACTATCATGTTCACAGATTCCTTTAAGGCAAAGCCCTGCAAAACTCCTGAAAGCTTACATGTCTCCTATCTGCCAACAAAGCACTATAAAATGTGATGTGGCATCATCATTATATGTTGAACT